AAATTTTGTTTTGTCTATTATTTTGAAATGTGGTTATAGATTATGAAATTTCGACGAACGATTTCATGCGAGCATGTGTCTCTTTCTAAAATCTGAACACCTAAAGGCAAAAATTGTCTTTACACCTGACCAAAAGGAAAGTGAAAAGACAAAAATAGCCCTATCTCCGTCCAAAATGTGAGAATTTATGGTGCCACGTAAGTACCGACGTTTGACGAAGTTGACTGAAAACTGTACTTAATAAAATCTTTACAGTTTAGTTGCGAAATCTAAATCCCAAAGCCAAATACGAACACGCATCATGCGCCGTCCATTACCATTTTACCCATTTTCCTCGTTACTTTGAAAATACCACTAACACGTTAATTTTTTTTTCCATTCAAAAAAAAAAGTTGTTTTGGTTAATGACAGTTTAATTCACAAATGTTAATTAACCTTATCTTAAGTAGATACACTGATTTACACGGTACACTCATCGACCAGATGCATCGTATAATAAACGTCAAGGAAAATATTGAATGGATAAGTTACATATTAGGTTTTGGATATATATATGACAGTATTAAATAATAATTAAGCTCGTGTTTTTGTGTTTAATTGTGGTTAGTATTAACGTAAAAACAAAAGAGTTTATAGGGTAGGTCAAACAGAATTTGTTTACTTATGAACTACTTGTGAAGGAATGTCATGTTAAAATATTTGTGTTAATTTTTCAATATAATAGTCAAAAATAATTTGTTTACTTATGAACTTTTTGAATTCATTTCCAATTTTATTAATATATAAATGGAGCTAATTCGCCTCGTTCTTTAAAGATAATTTTTTATTAGGGTAATTATAAAAATATCATTTTTGGTGTGTTTATTTTCAAAAATTTCACTATAAGTTGTTTTTTTGCAAAAATGTCACTAATTAAGAATTTTTAAACTCTAAATCTTAAAGTTCTAACATAAATGATATATTGAGTAAATAATTTTGATATATTAAATAAATATCACTTAAACTGCCAATATATTTGCAAAAATGCCAATATGTTTAACTTTATCAAAAGTGTTTACTCAATATATCATTTATATCATTTAAACTCTTTTTATGATATTATTTTTTTCAATTAAATTTGTAACATAATTTAAAATAATTGGGTTTTTTCTATTCCTAATTGAATTAGGTTTTATATATATCTACTTTCCAAAATTTTGACGTATCGAATCTCATATTTTAGTTGCAAACTAAAATGGGAAAATTGCAAAATTTAATAAGATTTCTTTCACATAATTGATTCCCAATTTTTTCAAGAAGCAAATGATGCACAAAGTCTTGAATAGTATTTTTTGCGTTAAATTAAAATCAAATTGAATTAGACATGAATCAAGTAATTAGTAATTAGTAATACATTAAGACTCTTATTGATATAAAATAAAAATTAAGACTCTTATTGATATAAAATAAAAATACGCTAACATTTTCATCAAGTAATAGAAAGTCTATTCCTATAATCTCATTATTTTTATTAAATTTTTTGCCTTCCACTTTCTGATTAGACGTACTACTGTCCGACGATAAACACGTTTTGTATTTAACTGGCCTAATCTTAAATAATTGATGTTTTTATTGGATTGAATAGTCAATGATGTGATGATATCTATATTGTAAATTTTAATTAAAAAATGAGTTACAATTTTTTTATTAATCTCACAAACTAAAACACATCACCCACAAATCGAATAAGAGACTAATCAATCTTATTTTCTAATACAAAATCTGAAATAAAATATGTGGAAGAGATTTTTGAAGTTTAAAATTGTTTGATGAGAAGATTGAGAGAGTATAAAAGCTTATTATATAAAGAAAAAATATTATAATCCATGAAGATTTGGTTATGTAAACCTAAGTCTATTTGAACTAAAAAATTTGTTACACATGTATTAATTAATATTGTTATGACAAATCTTAAAACCTATTTCATCTAATACACGTAAAGGAAAAGCGAAAAAAAAAGAATGGTTTTACAGAAAATAACAAAACTTAACATATAATAAAGAAAAAATTAAAGGAATAAGCCATGCTTATCAACTAATTATTAATGAACTATTAATTAGAGGTTAGTTGAAATTTTTGATATATGTTAATTTTTACTTGATAAATACAAATATTCAAGTTTTAAAAAAAAGATTTGTATGATATATGTGGCAAAAATTAATTAGAATTTTTTTTTTAATACGTGTCAAAATCTAATGAATGGGCTGATGCATCAGATATAGTTAGTATTTCACGAGTAACTAAATGATAATATTTGAGTGCTTTATTGTTTAATGAAAGAATTCTTTAATAACCTGAATAAATCTAGAGTCTGGATTCAAACTAACCCATGTAATTTTAAAAAATATATATATATATGATTTTACTATTTAAAAAGTTTTTAATAATCAATAACTTAATCAATATTTGAAGATAATGGAATCCGTTCTCTAATGAATCCTTAACAATGTTTTTTTTATCATATGCTTTCGAGTTTATGTAACTACGCATAATGTGATCAGACCTCAAAATTTTGTTTTAAATGAAGTCCAAATAAAACCCTCCGGTCATGACAAACAAAAATCATTCAAGCTGAGAAGCGCATGAAAACAGTCAACGTCATTCTTAACATTAAAACGGGAAAAAAAATATAGTCAACGTCAATATTTTTATGCTGACATTAGAGGGAGAATATATGGAATGCATAATCCAAGCCGTATACGTACATATATAGGCACGTCGTAATCTCTCAAAATATATGTAGAAAAGTGGATATATCACATGACCGACCCATAACTAAAATGCTAACTTTAAAGTTTGAAGATATATTCCGTAGTTATATGTAATTGTAGAAAGTGATATCGTTACTTCGGTAAAGGCTAGAGCCGCAATGTCTCTCGTCAAAAAGTATCAATTATTTGGAGTAGAGACCATCACAATTTCAGATCAAACTTATTTTCAGTATTTAATTTCACTTATTTCTTTTGGGTGATGATTAAAGCTAGATTTGACAAAGAAGTCTGCAACGTATAGTTTAACATTTTCCGTTTCCCGTTTCCCGTTATTGTGGAAACCTTTAGCTACAGTGATATTACACTCTCCGGCCACTTTTTAGTTTTTAAAACAAAAAAAGTAGAGAAATTTATTTATTGTAACCTTTTTGGGGTCGCATGTGCATACGCAAACAAACAAACAAATGTGTGCCTAACATTGCCTTGGACCCTAAATGAAACTACAATTTTTAGGGTCATATAACACAATTAGACTATGTTTTACGCTATCCGGAGTCGAGCTATATACGTAAGTTATCAATATTCGAGACATACAACCATTAGACTATATATCAAGTATCCGATTTATTTAAAAATTCTGATATATAACTACAAACTATACATGAAAGATGGCGTATATATGACATAATGATGAAATTTACATATTTGACAATTACCAACAAAATAGACTACTAAGGTGATAAGTAATAGGACTGTGTGTGTGCCTCCTACATCTCAACATTAAGCAAATTTGCGGCTGTGCCCAACAACCACCCAATGGAATTTTCAGTCAAATAATCAAAATCAATGCATGTCTTAATCTCTCGCACCAAACTCTCACCTTCATTTCAACTCACATGCACTTTTTTGGTGTATTAATCTGTTAGTATAAA